AAAACAGAAATGTTTGGTCTGATTTTTTGGGACAGGAGGGGGGGGAGCATCTCTTCAGATTTTAAATTTTTTCCTATTTTACCTTTCCTGTAACAGGAAAGATACCTGGGATTTGCCATTTGTGCCAAATTCGAGTCCTGCAGAGCAGGGACCATTTCTAATATCGACAGGTTTCCTATGTGAATTCTGACTCAGCTGATTCCTTCTTCCATAACCAAAGATTTCTGTTTTTTTGCAGGATTCCACCCAAATGTTTCTCTCTTACGTCCAATCCTCCTCCCGATATAATCTTGGCAACCACTACCAAAGCCCTCCCGGATCGAGATCTGGTAAGCGTTTCATAGAATCGGGTGTCGAGGGGGGGGACCTCAAAGGCCATCTTGCCTGACCCCATGAGAATGCAGGGAATTTCAGAGGGACCCACACACCTGTCCCAAGAGAATCAGCCTAGTCCAATATGGGGCTTATTCTCCTCATAGGCTTTGCAAAATGGTAATAAAAGAGAGTCCACAATTTACCAAAAGTAACCGGGACCAGAATTTCTGTTGTTAAGGAAGTCGGTTGTTAAGTGAGTCACTCTTGATTTCACGACAGTTTTGGCCAATGGTTGTTAAGGAGATATCGTGAGCCATTTCTGCCGCGAAGCAAGGCGGTTCATTGTGAGATGCTTCCAATATGATGACCTTTTTTTTATTTTTGGCTGCAGTTTTTTTTTTAAAAAAATATTTTTTATTACACAGGTTTTTTAAAACAAAAAAGAAATAACTTTAACACTTTCCTTCTACGCAACATTTCCATTATCAGTATATACCCATTAAAGGTGCATTTCCCCCCCACTATTCCAATGTGCCATTATCTATACATGTAATTCCAGTGTTTTTATACATACAAATATATTCATTTTCTTGAGTGACAGTGAATGCACTGTCGATCGTTTCCATTTATACATATTTATTACTGATTTCTTATTCCTGTATCTTCTTCGTTGAATCTTTCCTCAAGCTTCACAGGTAAGCTTAAATCTTAGGACAAACAAAAATTGGGGGGAATCCATTGTGATCCTCAGTTGAGGGCTACCTCTATAACCAATTTCGTTGTATTTAAGTACAATGACAATAAAGATTATACTTACTTATACTTATAATCTACCTTTCCCTGGAAGAGTAGGTCAGGAGGAACATTTCCCATGAATCTTGAGACCGACTGGGAACTCTGGGAGTTGTGGTCCCCCCCCCCTAAACCCCCCATCCTTTTGGAGAGCACACTGGGACCCAGGCTGGGGATGATGGAGAAACTTTGCAATTTCTCCCAAACGGTGACATTTCTCTCTGGCCCAGTGTTTCTCAACCTTGGCCAACTTGAAGTCCACGGGACTTCAAGCTGGCCAAGGTTGAGAAACACTGCTCTGGTCAAACAATCCCACGTCAGATCTCACCTATCTCTTCATTCGGATCTCAGCTGTCTCTTCCTTTGTGGTTCTGTTTGCAGGAGCATCCGAGAGAGGCCGTTGTCAACCATCACACACCTGGCCTGGTAGCTCAGGAAGCCAAATTCTTCCCTTCTTCCCCGCTGGGAGAGAAGGCCGTGCCACCTCTGGAAGCGAGCGACAGCAATAAGTTTCTGCCCCGGACTCTCTCGCTACGGAATTCCATCACCAAAAGTAAGGAAGTTGCCCTTGTGGGTTTCTGTCTGTCTGTCTGGCTCAGCCCCCAGCATCACGAAAGGGGCGGGGGGGGGAGGAGGGGGAGCAGAAAAAGTGGGGGTGCACAAAATGCTACGGATGGAGATGTTAATTGGAACGGAAGTCAGGATTCTCCAAATTGGTCGCGTTGAGGATGGATAATTCCCTTCCTTCGCTTCCCTTTATCTTTCCTGTCTTACTTCCCTTTCTCTGGTTCCTACCTCACTCTCTTCCTCCTCCTCCTCCTCCCTTTCTGCCTCTTCTTTTCCCCTTCCTTCCTCACTCTCTTCTGCTTCCTTTTCCCTTTCCTGTTTTTCTTTTCTTCCTTTCCCCACCTTCTTTCCTCCCTCTCTTCCCCCCTCCCTTCCTCTCTCCCTCCCCTTCCTTTTCGTCTTCCTTCCCCTTTCTTCCTCCCTCTCTTCCTTTTTTACCTTCCTTCCCCCTCTCCTTTTCTTCCTTCCCCTCTCTTCCTCTTTTTCCATTTTTCCTTTCCCTTCCCCTTTGTTTCTCCTTCTTTCTTTCTTCCTTTTCCTTTCCTTCCTTCCCTCCTCCCTCGCTTCCTCTTCCTTTTCCTCCCTCCCTTCATCCCTCTCTTTTTCTTCTTCCTTCCTCCCTCTATTCCGTTTCCTTTCCCCCTTCTTTTCTTCCTTTCCCTTCCTTTCTCCCACTCTTTCTTTTCCTTCTTTCCTTCCTCACTCTCTTCTGCTTCTTTTCCCTTTCCTTCCTTCCCCTTCCTCCTTCTCTTCCTCTTCATTTTCCTCCCTTCCTTCCTCTCCTTTTCTCCTCCCTCCCTCCCTCTCTTCCTTTTCCTTTCCCCCTTCTTTTCTTCCTTCCTTCCCCTTCCTTTCTCCTTCCTTCCTCCCACTCTTTCTCTTTCTTTTCCTTCCTTCTTTCCTTCCTCATTCTCTTCTGCTTCTTTTCCCTTTCCTTCCTTCCACTTCCTTCTTCTCTTCCTCTTCATTTTCCTCCCTCTCCTTTTCTCCTCCCTCCCTCTCTCTCTTCCTTTTCCTTTCCCCTTCTTTTCTTCCTTCCTTCCTCTTCCTTTCTTTCTTCCTTCCTCCCACTCTTTCTCTTTTTTTCCTTCCTTCCTAATCTCCTCCCTTTCTCCTTTCCTCCTTTTCCCCTTACCCCAAAAGGGGGAAAGCTTCTTAGGGCCAGCCGGTCCCTCACAGCCCAAGTAAATTCTTTCTTTCCTCCTCTCCCCCTTCAGTTCTTTCTGAAGCTGGGGAGTCTCTGGAGGATGAGTGGGACTCCATCGCCAACCTGGCTTCGGCTTGTAACAACATCCTGGAAGCTCTCTCCCGCGAAGGTGAGTGGCGGGAGTGGGTGGATCCCTGGGGATCGACGGTCCTTGGACGGTCTGAGCTGCCTTCATCCAGTTTAGCCTTTCTTGACGCTTCAATCTAAAGTGATGTTTCCCAACGGCAGCCATTTTAAGATGCCTGGACTTCAACTCCCAGAATTCCCCAGCCAGCAACGCTCGGTGCCCTCTGAGATTTTTCCCTGCTGATTTTTCACTCACCGCCCGGCTGGCATCCCTGGCTCCCATCTGCGTAGCTTGTGATTTTTTCCCCAAGCTGAGCCATTTCCCCTCTGATCTGTGACTATCTGGAAAGGCCAGATGTTGGAATTGAGGCTGTTTTTGGTTGCGAAAGGTGGTTTGTTTCCTTGATCAATGTCATGCTCACCTGTGCTTTGTTGTGTGACTTCAGGCCAGCATATCCTGGAGAATAGAGACGGCAGCACAGGGACCCAGAGATGCGCCAGTCAGCCACAAGCGATTGATGAGTAAGAAGGAAATTTCTCTCTTTCTCTCTCTTTCTTTCTCTCTCTCTGTATCTCTCTGTCTCTCTCTCTGCCTGTCTCTCTCTCTCTTTCCCTCTGTGTATCTCTCTCTCTTTCTTTCTTTCTCTCTCTCTCTCTCTCTCTCTCTCTCTCAGTATCTCTGTCTCTCTCTCTGTATCTGTCTTTCTTTTTCTCTCTCTTTCTGTCTCTGTATCTCTCTTTCTTTCTCTCTGTCTCTGTATCTCTCTCTTTCTTTCTCTGTCTCTGTATCTCTTTCTTTCTGTCTCTCTCTCTCTCTGTATCTCTCTTTCTTTCTCTCTGTCTCTGTATCTCTCTCTTTCTTTCTCTNAGAATACAATAGAATAGAAGAATTCAGAATACAATAGCATAGAATAGAACAGAATAGAATAGAATAGGAGAATTCAGAATAGAAAAAAATAGAATAGAAGAATTCAGAATACGATAGAATAGAAGAATTCTGAATAGAATAGCATAGCATAGAAAAGAATAGAATAGAACAGAATAGAATAGGAGAATTCAGAATAGAATAGAAGAATTCAGAATACAATAGCATAGAAAAGAATAGAATAGAATAGGAGAATTCAGAATAGAATAGAAGAATTCTGAATAGAATAGCATAGCATAGAAAAGAATAGAATAGAATAGAACAGAATAGAATAGGAGAATTCAGAATAGAATAGAATAAAATAGAATAGAATAGGAGCAGAATAGAAGAATTCTGAATAGAATAGGATTCCCCGGAGAGTCCATCAATAATCATTTTCCTTCTCTCCGTCCAGCGTGGCCGTCAGCTGCACCGAGGACATCCCGCACTTCGGGCCTTTCATTCCCGCCGAGAACTGTTTCCTGAAGGGTCCGGCTTTCCGGGACCTCCTGCTCGCCAAAGTGATCAACGCCGAAAACTCCGCCGAGCGATCGGGCAAGTTCCACGCCATGGCCACCCGGACGCGCCAGGAGTACCTCCGCGACCTGGCGCTCAACCACGTCACCACCAGCACGTTGGAGGCCTCGACTTCCCGCCGGCCTCTGATCACTTTGCCGGCCGCCAAGAAACGGGAGAAGTCTAAAGTTCCTAAGGGGGCCGAGGCCCACAGCGCCGGCGCTTTGGTGTGGGGCGTCTGGGCCCGGGACGGGAGCAAAGAACCCAACAGCAAGACGTCGGATCTCCGGTGCCTGCTGGGCATCTCCTCTGAGTTTCTAGTCCTCATTGATGCCCGCGAGAAGAGAGTGGTTTTTAACTGCTCATGCCGGGATATCTTGGCTTGGACTTTTTCGGAGAGTTGTTCCTTGGACCTTTATTACGAAACTGGGGATTATATTTGCATGCGCGTGGACGAGGGCCAGGCTTCTGACATTCGCGATATCGTCCACCGGCTACAAGTATGCTTTTCTCTCTTTTTTTTTGGCAAATTTGCGTTTTTCTGGGATTTTTTTTGTGAAGGGAAAATGTTGTTCCTTGTGGAGTTTTAGATCTGTGTGGTCTTACAGTTCTTCCATTGCACTCTCCACATGCTCAGAGGCGATCTGGTGTGTACAGGTAGTCCTCGACTTACAACACTTCATGTAGTGACCATTCGAAAGTTACAACTGCATTGGGAAAAAAGGGGACGCCGGATGGGTTTTCTCACTTATAATCTGAATAGAAATTCAGATGCTTGGCAGCTGACTCGTATTTATGACGGTTGCTGTGTCCTGAAGTCACTTGCCCCCCCCTTTTTTTGGTGATCTTCCGATCAGTGGGGAAGCCAGTTTCACTTAACAGCCGTGTGACTAACTTAACGACTGCAGGGATTCACTTAACAGCTGCGGCAAATAAGGTCGTAAAAAGCCGGCAACATTCACTTAATAGCTGTCTCGCTTAGCAATGTAAGTTTGGGGTTCGATTGTGGTCGTAAGTGGAGGACTACCTGTGTTATGACCTAGAAAGCTTTTATTTTAGGATGCCATACATAAGACCCACGACTTCTCTGTAATATTTCTCAATCTTGGCCACTTGAAGATCTCCGGACTGCAACTCCCAGAATCATAGAAGGTTTTACAATATGTGGATTTCAACTCTCTTGCTGGTTGGGGAATTCTGGGAGTTGAAGTCCACCTAAAATAAAGTTGCTGTGATTGAGAAGCTCTTAGCCTAAATCAGGGGGGGGGGGAGGTGTCAAACTCGATTTCATTGAGGACCACATCAGGGTTGTGTTTGAACTGGGGGACGTAGCCAGGAGGCGTGGCCAGCTCCACGTCACTCATCAAGGCTCCCGTTTTCAGCTGTGATGGCCTCCTGCAACCCTCTGGCAGAGAATTGCAGGAGGCTGTCGCGGCCTAAAATGGAGCGCGGGCAGCGCGTGGCCTTCTCGAGCTCTGTTTCCGCTGGCAGAGAGTTGCAGGAGGCTGTCGTGGCTGAAAACGGAGCGCGGGCAGGCTGCGTGCGGCCCTCCTGAGCTCCGTTTTTGCTGGCAAAAAGCTGCAGGAGGCTGTCGCGGCTGAAAACGGAGCACGGGCAGGCTGCGTGCGGCCCACCCAAGCTCCGTTTTTGCTGGCAGAGAGCTGCAGGAGGCTATTGTGGCTGAAAACGGAGTGCGGGCAGGCTGCGTGCGGCCTTCCTGAGCTCCGTTTTTGCTGGCAAAAAGCTGCAGGAGGCTGACGCGGCTGAAAACGGAGCGCGGGCAGGCTGCGCGTAGCCCTCCCGAGCTCCGTTTTCACTGCAGAGGCAAGGCGGGCCGTTGTTTCGCTGTTTCCAGACCTGGCCCACGGGCCTTGAGTGACATCCCTGGCTTAAAGTCAACTCAGGGGCTTCTTTGCCTAAGGCAGGACTAGAACTCAGAGCCTCCCACTTCCTCGTCTAACTCATTCACGGCTGTAGCCAACTACCTCAAAACTTATCGAGCCTTTCGCCAAAAGGTTTTGCGCCATCCCAGAAAATCGCTTGTCTTTCCTTCCCCTCCCTTCACTTCACTTTATTGATTAGCCCTTGGCTAATATCAAAGTGCCGAGTTCCAGACACAAATTATTACTAAAATCGGATTAAAAACAACTTGAAATGGAATCGGATAAAATACAATTTAAAATGGAATCGGATAAAATACAATTTAAAATGACATTGGAATACTACACGGTTTAAAATGAAATTGGAATAAAATACAATAATTTAATATATAGATAAATAAAATATGATAAAATTATATTTTGGTATCAGCAGGAGTGATGCGGTGGCCTAGAGGCGGAGCTCTCGCCTCACAATCAGGAGGCTGTGAGTTCAATCCTAGGTAGAGGCAGATATTTCTCTCTCTCTGGGCACAATGAGAATATATCTGCTGAATAGAACTCCGCACTGGAGACAGGGACGGCATCTGGCCAGTAAACACTCAGCTCCATTCAGTTGCCCAGACTCCACCCCACACGGGATTATGGGGCCTCACAATCAGGAGGCTGTGAGTTCAATTCTAGGTAGAGACAGATATTTCTCTCTCTCTGGGCACAATGCAAATATATTGGCTGAACAAAACTCCATACTGGCAACAAGGAAGGGCATCCAGCCAGTAAACACTCAGTTGCCCAGACTCCACCCCACAAGGGATTATGGGGTTGTTAAAAGAAGATCTGCAGGTAGTGTTCAACTTATTACCTTTTTTAATGACTGTTGGAAGTCACAACAGCCCTGAATACCGAGGCAGATATTTCTCTCTCTGGCCACATGGAGAATATATCTGCTGAACATAACTCCGCATTGGCGACAGGAAAGGCATCTGGCCATTAAAACACTCTGCTAGTTCCATTCAGTTCCCTGCAAGGGATTCTGGGATCGTTAAAAGTTGATGATGATATTTCAGTCAATCTACCCCAATCTAACCCCCCTCCCTCTCTTCCTCTGCTAGTTGGTGACCCGCGGCTGTGAGACTCGAGAACTGACTCTCTTACGGAATGGCGTCGGCCAGCTGGGTTTCCAAATGGACCACGAAGGGTTTGTCACCGAAGTGGAACGCTTCACCTTTGCGGAAAAAGCCGGGCTCCAGCCAGGGGCCCGCCTGGTCCGCGTGTGCGAAAGACCCTTGCCCGGCCTGACGCCCCCGCAGACCACCGAACTCCTGCGGACGGCGAAAAAAGTCACCATCACCGTCGTTCCCCCGGATGAAAACGGAAGACCGAGAAGGTAAGCAGATCCGTGACAAATCATATGCACGGAGCGTCCGGGGCGCTTCTCCTGTGTTCCTCCTGCTCCGGGGTTCCCTAATTGGGCAACTTTACAATTCTGCGGGATGATAGTTCTCACCATCAGGACTACAGAACCCATCCTGCCCAACTCGCCTAGGGGTGTTAAATATGATCTCCCCGAGCTGGAGAAGTTTGATCTTTACCGAATGACCCCAAAAAATCTTTTTCGCAAGGAAGAATTGGTGGCTTCCCAGGCTGATACGTATCAAATAAGTTTGGGTTTTTTCCCTGACTTGAAGTGTGGATTTTCTCCAAAAGGACTTCTGGACTTCTGTCTTGGCTATTGTCACTCTTAATAATATGATTCTAGCACTGTGAGTTGGTTGTATTCTTGCCGACATTTCATTACCGAACTAAGTTACATCATCAGTGCACTAGTGATATACCTGCTTTGGGTAATGAAATGTCTGGAAGAAATCAAGCAAGCTCAAAAAGCACTAAGGACCCCACAGTTCTTCTTCTTCTCCTCCTCCTCCTTCTTCCTTCTCCTCCTCCTCCTTCTTCCTTTTTCTCCTTCTCCTCCTTCCTTCTTTTCTGCCTTCTTCCTTCTCCTCCTCCTTTCTTCTTTTTTCTTCTTCTTCCTTCTTCCTTTTTCTTCTCCTTCTTTCTTCCTCCTCCCCCTTTCTTCTTCCTTCTCCTTCTTTCTTCTTCTTCTTCCTCCTCCTTCCTTCTTTTTGTTCTTCCTCCTTCTTCCTTCTTTTCTGCCTTCTTCCTTCTCCTCCCTCTTCCTTCTTCTCCTTCTCCTTCTTTCTTCTTCTTCCTCCTCCTTCTTCCCCTTTCTTCCTCCTCCCCTTTCTTCTTCCTCCTCCTTCTTCTTTCTCCTTCCTCCTCCTTCTCCCCCTTCCTTCTTTTTCTTCTTCCTTCTTCTTCTCCTTCCTTCTTTTCCTCCTCCTCCTCCTTCTTTCTTCTCCTCCTCCTTCCTTCTTTTTCTTCTTCTTCCTCCTCCTCCTCCTCCTTCTTCCTGCTCCTTCTTCCTCCTCCTCCTTCCTTCTTTTCTGCCTTCTTCCTCCTCCTCCTCCTTCTCCTTCTTCCTCCTCCTCCTCCTCCTCCTCCTCCTTTCTTCTTTTTCTTCTTCCTCCTCCTCCTTCTCCTCCTTTCTTCTTCCTCCTTCTTCCTTCTTTTTCTTCTTCCTTCTCAATCTCCTTCCTTCTTTTTCTCCTTCTTTCTTCTCCCTCCTCCTTCCTTCTTTTTNTACGGCTGTACAGTAGAAGCCATTTTAAGCCACAACAGGCTGTATCTTAACAGAACACACACCCTGAGGGGTGTTAGGGGTGTCTTACCCCCCACAGTATTTGTTTCCAGAGAGTAAGTCATCTGTGTATCAGGTTTTGTTGAAATTGCTCGAGGCGTTCCAGAGTTATTCTGGAATATACATACATACACACACAGCCGTTTATATATATATAGATTAATCAAATTTATACCAATAATATATGTTTTTTTCCTGGGCAGAAATGTTCATTTCCAAAAACAGAAACCTGGCCTCCATACATAATTTGCTACATGCAACTCCGTGCAAAAGTCTAAACATTCTGGGGGAAATAAATGTGGCTTTACAACACAGGTAGTCCTCAACTTAATGACCACAACTGAGCCCAAGACGTTTGTTAAGTAAATTTTGCCCCATTTTACGACCATTCTTTCCCCAGTTGTTAAATGAATCACTGCAGCTATTAAGTTAGTGACACGGTCGTTAAGTGAGTCTGGCTTCCCCGTTAATGCTGCTTGTCAGTAGATCACAAAAGGGGATCATGTGACCTTGGGACACATCAGCGGTCATAAGTGTGAATCCGTTGCCTAGCCTCTGGATTTTGATCCCGTGATCACGGAGACGCTACAACACGGAGTTGTGGGAGTTGAAGTCCACAGTCGTAAAGCTGCCATAGGTGGCTACTACCCCTGATTTAGCGACTGGTAGTCCTCGACTTATGACCACAATTGAGCCCGGAATATCTGTTGCTAAGTGAGAATTTCTTAAGTGAATTTGTACCCCATTTTACGACTTTTCTTTCCACGGTTGTTAAGCAAATCACTGCAGCTGTTAAGTTCGGAACATGGTTGGTAAGTGAATCGCAGCTGTTAAGTTAGGAACACGGTTGGTAAGTGAATAGCTGTCGCTGTTAAGTTAGGAACACAGTTGTTAAGTGAATCACTGCAGCTGTTAAGTTAGGAATATGGTTGTTAAGTGAATTGCTGCAGCTGTTAAGT